ATGCTGACTGACATTTTTCATACTACTTCTAAATCCATTATCTACACACTGAGTTGATGACGGATTTTCCAGTGTTTCTCGATCATGACAAGGAGTACATGGCAGGTGTGACCGGTTTTCAGAGGTTGCTCACTCCTCCATGACACCTGATCCCACCTCCGATGTTTTGGAGATCCATGTTTGCTCTACTCCTTTTTTGTATTATTTTATGAACTTTTGATCTTGAATACTGTTCTTAATCTCCAAATGTTTTATTGCTAAAGACTGCCCAGTGATTCCAGTAAATCATGTTTCAGAAGCATTAGCTAAATAAAAAGAAATTCCGCAGGCAACTGACGAAGTATCCCCATAAAATGGTGTTCAGGTATAAACGTTCAGGTAAATGAGGACATCAAATGATTGCATTGAAATCCTTTTAAAATATAATCAAACCTTGTTCAGTTGTTCCAGCTATCAGGGCAGATGTAAATGTTATCTCCATATGTTTCATTCCCTATACACCCTATTTCATCAAGTTATATTTGAATAAAAAATATGAAAAGAACTTATTTTTTTCAAATTTAAATTAAATTTTAGAAAAAGGTGGTCAACTAACGAGCACAATAAGAACCTGCCTGGCCCATTAGCATTCCAACAGATTGTTCAAAGTTCTGGTTTCTAATACTACATAAATAATGATGGAGGGACTACAAAATTAAGCGTTCTAGTTTTTGCCTGAACAATATAGCTACATAAAGGCAAGTAAAACAAAACATCAAACCTTTTAAACTAAAGAATTCATTTTTAAAGTCGTCAAACAAGCACAGCATATTCAAGTAATTTAAAACATTGATTAAACAAGCTTCAGCTTTCATTTTTTCCCCTAAAAAAGGCTTATTCAGTCTTGATTTTAAATACAAGACCTGTCTGAATGATTTTCACAAACTCAATACTGAATAAGTATTTACATGTATATTACATACGCAATGTAAATGTACAAGTAAATAAAGTGCCGCGCCACAGCATGATACGCCCGTCAAAAAATTACAATTTTCTTGAACAGAAAATCACATCAACCTTGATTCTAAGATTTCGATGATTTTTCCATTCCTTAAAATATTTATCCATCCCCTGTGATGTAGGCATCAATTATAATAAATATTACATCACCGATAGATTTCTGTGCTGGTTGTGTACGTTAGCCCTTGTCAAATGCCCATCATCAAATTAGTCTTAACAACTTAATCTATACCAAATTAATTTTGAAAAGAAAAGGCTGGCCATCAAATGGCATATGTTATAAACTGCCCAGCAGTTCTTCTGTCTAATCCCCAAAGGGTACAGATAAGATGCTTAATCAGAGCAACTGAGACAGCTAGACTTCCTACATTGAACTCATTAATTAATCTTTAACTGAATGCTTGTCTACTCATTACTACCAAGAGATGAATGGGTCTGCACTATCTACTATAATTTTTTTTTAAAAACATATAAAATACTCAAAGATTTTTTTTTTGGTTGAGATTTAATGTCCGACAGGTTTTAATATGTAATTCATATGGACATGCTGATTCCACCCCACTCCATAAAATTAGTTTTTAAATTAATAATATTACATAATATCAGATTAGTCTATTATGCAATATCAAATTAGTTTTAATTACTTTTCATCAAATTCATTTTAAAACTTAAGCTAGTCAACAAGAGCTAGTTTTAATCAAACAGGCTTACCCATTTGCCCAATATTCAAGGGATATAGATAACACCAATGCTCTGTCAGTTAGCTCCTTGCACTCAAAACCCATTAATTTCTCTCTAATTTGACATGCAATTTTCTGTTATCAAAATTCTTCTTGAGCAGTGCTTGATAATTACACTCATGGGAGAGGTAGGATTTCTCTGACATACATTATATTTGTTATAGATTGCTGTCAAGTATATGCTTTAAAAAAATAAGTATTTTCTTGATTTAACTTTTTTAATAAGAACAGTGCAATACTCTTACATTATTTGGGATGTGTAAATGAATAGTAAAAAGACACATTTTTTTTTTTAATTCACTTAAATTAAAGGTCACAGTGACCTTGAAATAGGTCGCGACACACCTTCTACCTAAGATGCATAAACTGGCCAAGTTTGATGATTGTAGGTCTTATGGTTTTCTAGTTATGGGCCGGAAAGGATTTTTCCATATTTGGCTATAACTTCTTAATTAAAGGTCAGAATGACCTACTTTTTTTTTTTTTGTGCGCGACACACCTTCTACCCAAGATGCATCAGATGACAAAGTTTGATAATCCTAGACCTAGTAGTATTAAAGTTATGAGCCGGAAAAACGAAAAAGCTAACAGACAGACGGACGGACACGAAGCCTATAACATAATACGTCCCGTCTTAAGATGGGCGTATAAAAATTGAGTAAGAAAAGAAACAGTACATAGGCCCAAGGGCTGATTAATACAACAGTTATAAAGGATGAACATATACAATGAAAAAGGTGATTATTTAGGAATAAATAAGGATTTTTTTCTCTATTTATGTATACATAACTGGATTTCTCACTTAAAATTCTTAATTTAACAAAACATCTTGGAGTATAAGAAGTGAAATAAATACCTGTGCTAAAGTTATTGAAGCAAGGATTTAGGAAATGCCCTCTATATAATAAAGATATGTTTTAAGGTAATAAATATGCTTCATATCTGAAGTATATGGTAATGTACAAATATTCTCATTGTTAAATTTAAGTTTATAATACATATTTTTATGATATCCAAAATGAAAACACAAGCAAAATAACTTAGTTAATATGTAGCTTTTTGGCATATATACATGCAATGTAAAAGTATGTCTCAATTAAAATAAATACAAAAATGAATACTTAAGTTAACTTTAACTGTGGATGGAATTCAAAGAGTCAATATTGCAGAAAGTAAAATTAAATAACATGCAAAGACAAAATAGAAATAAATAGATATATATGCTTGGGGCTTTCATATTTTTGATTTGAGAATAAAATTACTATCAACAGAAATAAAATGAGAATAAAATTACTATCAACATACTTGATTTAACTTTTTTTAGCACATTATTTGGGATGTGTAGGACACATTTTTTTTTTGAATTCACTTAAATTAAATCACAGAAATAAAATTAATAATGAGTGGCAGGTACAATTAAATTATTGAATTAATTGCACAAATTTTAATTAAATTGAAACAAAAAATTCTGAGTGAGGCCATTTCAAGTTTTTCTCCATTTAGCATGTGTGAACCTTGGTTTTTGGCATACTATTATATTAGATTAAAAAAAACAATTCAGGATCTTAAAAGTTGATTATTTGGTCAAAACCTTTGAAATTTGTCAAGTCTTAAATATTTTTTTCCACAGTATATCATATCATTCATATTTTAAGTCTTTATTAAGTTTACTTTACAGAAATTTTTCTATAAAAGAAATAGATTCATGATGTCCATGAATCCTTTGAATGATGTTAGGTTTATTACAGTAAGCCTTTGTTTTCTTTCTTTTGGGGCTTAATTGTGCATTCTTAATGTGAATAAGTAGGTAGGATTTTGAAAGACGGGTGGATGCTAAACAGAGAAAAAGTTTGCAATGACCTTATTAGCAAACTTTTACATCATGTTCATGTCAATTTTCAAGACTTAAAATTCATACATGGTCAAAAAGTACAAGTGATAAATATTTTGTGTCCAGATGATTCATTTATATTGTATATGTGATTACAATGCAGATAATAAATTGTATATTAACTTGAAAAAATTAGATATCTAATTCAATATCATTATTGAGTAGATAAGTATAAACATTCTTAAAGTTTTGAATTTGTCATACATCTAGTAAGGACAAAAATTTAGTCTTGTTGACAATTTGAGAATACAAGTGCTGACCCAAAAGTTCGTGGAATTTCTTTCTAAAATTTTATTGTGATTTGATGAAAACAAACAACAGGTATATTTATAATAAAGAGTCATAATGCAACAATATTGGAAAATTTAACCACTTTTCAATTACCAATTAGGTCACATGAGCTTTCTGTTAATGGATAGTTGTGAAACCCGGGGGAGACTTCTATGTTACGTCAATTTAGATATGTCACTTCATGTTATAGAAGCAGCTCACCCTGATGTCCAATTCGAATATGTAATTCTACAAAATGCTGCCATTTTCTCCATTTTTTTTCTCAAGAAAAGCCTGGGTATCCTCTCGAACTAACTTATCTTCATTTTTAACACATATTTCAAAATACACCCCATCTTTTCATATGAAGTTCCAATTTCAGTAGCAATGGCAAGAACAGTAAGTAAGCCAACAACGTTCATGAACACTTTTAATTTTTCTAGGGAGATAATCACTTAAAACATAGCCTAAAAAATGGCCACACCTTTAATCAATGTCCATGGACGATCTATATTTCTTATGCCACTGGAAAACCAATAACTAAATGCATTCTCCCCCAGCCTATGTCAATAATATACATGTTCAAGATAAAGTGATCCCGCAATTTTCACAAAACTTATGACTTGACTGAAATTTGAGGTTGTCTAACACCTTAAAGATGAACAATAAATCATCAACTAATAAACTAAATATCCAGTTAAATCAGTTAATCTCTCACACAAAGGTTTATAAAAGTCAAGCAATCGTAATAATGACATAATTTTCGTTTTATATACCATATAGGGCAGTTTTATTCTCATTTCACGCATTCAGAATTAAAATGATTAATAAACGGATTAATATCTCCCCCGCATTTCTAAACAACCATTTCTATGGCAACTGCCATAGAGTTACTATCATAGATATTTAAAATGTTTTTTATGTAAAATATCCAACAAATGTCTAAATTATCATTTGTAATTTTCAACCAATTTCACCAAAGAATAAATAAAATATGAAGAAATTCCAACTTTTGGATCAACCTCGTAAATACTAGTACATATATATAATTGTTATGTACCTTTCTGTTAAAAGTCTTTGTTGATATTAAGATAATTTAAAAAAAAAAATGAATAATTTCACATGTACATCCACATAGAGAAAGGTCAATAAATACTTATAATTACAGGATAAGTTTATATTCAAACTCAACAATAAAATACATAAAGTACACACAATCAAATTCATAAATCCATACTAAATATACACATAAATTAACAGAATGAACACACCACCAAAACTATATCACTAGTACATCCATCCTCTTGGAGAGAGAGCTAAGATAGGCTTTGACTGCTGCCCAATCCCATTCACTTTTATTTGTGAATAAAATTTTGTATTAAAAAGACCCAACAAACTACATCACTAGAATTAATCAGAATCCATAAGAGCAAATGCTAAGCAAATTATAGAGACAATTAATACACTTTTAAACTAAAGGGCAGAAAGGCAAGTTTGAAACTATAATTCTAAAATGGATTTTATATTTCAAGACACATATGTTTGTTTTGTATGTGTGATCAATTTGAGTGTAATATGGTTGCGCTTATAAAGATGAGAAATCTTCTGTTCAAGTCTAATTTTTCCCTCAAAAATTGAAGGAAATAATTTATTTTAGCAAAAACACCACTCTCTAATCTCTACATGACAAAATCCAAAGAAAGAGCACAAATTTTCAAGAAGAGACATATAAGAATGGCACTATATAAATCTCAATACTATGTCTGTCCATAAATCATTTAAAATCACAACAAAAATCAACACCGGCAAATGAAATAGCTAGGACACCATCAAATCATGAACTGTTTTGGCAAAATGAAGCACTTTGAAATACTACAAAAAATTGTCTAGTGCTAAGTGGGAAGTCTTTTTGGGAAATTTTGGCAAATTAAATAATGGACCATAAACACCGCTGAGGTAATTTAATGCTAGCTACGGTGTTTCTGAGACTAGGCATAGAATTCTCCTAATTCAAAGGGGTGGAAGGGGGGTTGTTATTTAGCAGAACTTAAGTCTTAAATGTAGCTTTGAAATTTTGGTGTACATACAAACAAATTTAATTCAGGAGAATTCCAGAGATGAAAAAAAATATCTTTTCATTTTAAATACATTGGAAATCTTATTCCCTAGATTATCAATTTCACATCACCATTCTACTTCAAAAAACAATGAACCCCTTAAATATCTTTGTGAAAAGAACATTAATTTAACACACTAAAAAATCAATCACATATCACATAAAACAATTCACTATACTTATTTTAAGTGAAGAATGATGAACCATAGAATTATTTGCCCTCAAACTGTTCAATAAATCTATTTTCATCATGCTAGTAATTTTTCCGTCCCGTCCGTATTTCTATATCTCAGATCTGGTTCATCATCAGTAGAAGCCATCAAGTCTGATTCAAAGTAATCGTCTGATTTTTCTATTCTGTTGTAGCACCGTGCCTCTTCTTTGTTTCTATTGTATTTTACGCTTGTCTCTACATCACTGACATATATAGTTTTCGTACCTTTAATTTTTCTTTTCAGGAAGTTGTCTACTACCCAAAATATAAAAGCCTGAAATTTGGAGGGAAAAATAAGTTCAATTTAGTGACCTTTATCATATAATTTTACTTACTGGTAAACAAAGCACCTTTCACTTTGAAAAAAGTCTATGTTTAAAAAGCTTGTTGCAAAGGAATCTTAAAAGGAATCTATTGCTTATGTAAATACTTGAATCACTTGTCAGGTGCATATCAACTTTTCATGTAAGGATAGCAATTGGCTAGTATTGAAGAAATTGTACTGATTTCAGATTTACCCTTACCTCTTTATTGATTTTTTACTTACATTAACCACTAGTGGGACTATGAACATCACAATCACCAGCTCTACTTTGGGGTCCTTAATGGGTGACATTAAAAATTTCCTCACCTATGGACAAAAATAACACTCTCAAAAAATAAATCTGCTATTTGTAAACCTAAAACCTCCAATAATTAGCATGGTTTTTTGAAACATACACAGTCAGCACAGTTTCTGGAATTCTCCACAATATCAAGTTTTGTGAAGTTACCTTCTTCCAGAAGTCAAACTGGATCAGAAGTGTCATAAGAATTTTCTCCAGGATCATCACAAGGATATACAGGGCACACTGTCCTACCCAGGTGCTGCAGGCGGGGGGATTCCCTACAATGTAACATTATAATAAATGACTGTTAAACAGTTATCTCATTTTCTCAAAAATGATTATGAAAAACTTCAAGGTTTGTGAGAGTTTGAGATATTGAAAGTAAATTACTAAAAGAACAATTGGTAAGGACTTCCAAATTTAAGTTTTATTTCCTATTTCAAATAAGAAATTACTTCGAATTATCTAATAGATGGTATTCGAGATATAGATATTCAATGTTCAACTGTACTTATTTAACTACGCTTTATTTCAGATACTAAGAATAGATATTTCTTCACACTATCTTGTCTGTGTGAAATGCAATCTTAGCATTCTCAATTCCAACAATCTACTTGTTTATGTGATTTCTAGTACAAGCATTTATTATGATTTATTATTATTATGATTTATTATTAAATATTTACATCCACTGAATATTTTCTCCTTTATTTCTTAAGAAAACCCATTGCGTTAATCACTGCATGAACTACATTAGGCTTGTCGCCTGTAAAGATTTCTTGATCAGTGGCTGTTCCATCAATAAAATGTATGAAGACGTTTGCATCATTAATACAATAATTAATCTTTTTAATCCTACTTTAAATGATTATTTAAACAGATATAAATATAAACAATAAAATGTCTTTCTTTGTTTTTTATTACTGGAATTAACGGTCGCAGCTATTGCAGAAAAAATTTACATAACGCGGGTTATGTATTTTTTCTGCAACAGATGCTTTCCGTTAATTCCAGTAATAACAAACAAAGAAAGCATTTTATTGTTTAAATGAACACTGTATGTTGATTCTACCTTAAAGTTTGTGACACTTACCATATTCTCCAAACTTTAGTGAATCCCACTTCAGCCTCCGCACAATAACTTGAGTAAGCTTGAGACCAATGTAAATCACAAACAAACCAATTGTAGAATCCAGTATGAAGCTCACAAAATACCTAAAGAAACATAAACACATTAGCTTACTTTGGGTTATTGATTAAAAATTTGCATCTTTGTATTCAACAAATACATAAAGAAGACAACTAGAATTTGCTATTTTAAAAATAACACAATTATTTTTTTGAAAGGGAGGGGGGGGGGTGTTGCTAAATTGGCCTCTTGCTAAATATTCTACTTATCGAAAGGTATTTTTTCAAGCGAGTTCATAAAGTACTGGAAAAAGAAAATTACTTTAAGCAAAATGCTTGATACCATTATGAGCATTACATTTTTCAGTTTTGATATTATACAAATGTATATATGTTTGACATTCTAGTAGGGCTGCCACGATTAACCGAAATATCGGTTAACGCGATTCACAATCTTTCGGTTCAATTCGGTATGTCTTTTCGGGATTTTGATTCGATTCAGGTTTGATTTTTTCATACTAACATTTGCTGCTGTTACGCGCATTCTGATTGGTTAATCGGAAGAAATGATGGCAAATCATGTTAAAGTAAACAAAAACATGAAAATGGCCGCGAAGAAGTCGACGGGGGATTACTTCCAAGTTCCATTTTCGACAGAAAGATGGCACAGAGGATAAATAGATTTACTAAAATGCAACACCCATCAGCCATGTAATTCTGAATTTAGAGGAACCGACACAGTGCTGCAAATTTCCTTATTTCTTTTTAATACTGAGATCGTTTTGAATGTGAAATAATTATTGACATTCTTGTTATGACAGTTATGTGGTTAGGTGGTTTCATATCGTATTGGTGAATCAAAAATTTAAATCACAGCTGGAATCTTACCGTTTCTATTGTGACCAAACAGCCTTTGTGAGCAAATCACCAATACTTTTATGCTTAGCATAATAATTAATATGAAATCATTGGTTTTGTTTGAAAGATTTGTTCGCATGTTTCATCTTTTAAAACCAATGACCAGTGTTTTTATTCATTTGGATTTCCGACATTTGATTCTTGGGTCATACTTTTAATTAGAACATTAGGTATTTTCTATGTTTTCTTGGCTTCACATTCTATTTTATCTTAATAAACCTTATAAAAGTATGAATCATAATTTATTAAAGAATATCTTATGATTATGGTGATCAAAGATTACAGATTTTATACAAAAATTTAAAAAAAGATCTATTTCTTATAATCGAACCGAAATTATTTGAAAATCGAGGTTTTTGTTTGAACCGAATCAATTCAAAAATTTTCTGATTCGTGGCAGCCCTACATTCTAGCACAACAAATTAAGCAGTACTTAGGATTCTAATAGAACAAAGAAGCTTAATATATATATGAAGAGTGTACAATGTACCAGGTGCATGGATCTCCCTGAAACATATCTGCTAGGAACACATTAGCAAAATGGATGACAGCAGCCCCAAAACCTTGCTTAGATGTGTCAAAGAACCTTTAATGAATGTGAAATTGATCATGAACATGAGAGTACATGTATCAAAAACATAAAAAAGCTTTAATCATGTTAATTGATTAAATTAATTATTAAAAATATTTCTTTACAGACAACAAAATAATAAATGATCGCTTATTTTTACCATATTTTCCAAGGTCGTCTTTCATAAATTGGCTCACAGTATCTTTTCACTGAAATGACAATGTACACTGACGTGAAGGTCGTCATTGGTTCTCAATTTTACACGTTTTCCAGAATAACAACATGAATGCTTGCAAAATGAAATGGATGTAGGCGAAAGCCTGTTCACTTCCCTAAAGAGAATATACCCCATATATCCCATTTACAGTAGAGCAAACTTTAGAAAAGATAATCTTTGTTAAAAATCAAAGAAAGATTGCATATGAAACATGGAGACTAATCAGTCTTACACTCTTTTCATTCTACAAACCTATAAGTGATGTAAATGCTAAGAATGCCAGTACAGCTTGAACCACCAGTCCAAGACCTCCCATCAAATCGCCACTGTTACAGTGGTACACTTTGGATCCACCTATGTTGGTTTCATCAACCAAATCACTGTGTGAGTTATTGTTCACTGTTAAAAGCGATGCCATGATGGTTGAGCAGAGGAAAGGAAAATCAACTTCGAGGTGTGACCAACGCAACACTGCACTTTAGTTGAACAGTGTATTTTACCTATTCAGAAAAGTACTGTAACTATGTGACAGAATTCACCAAGATTGAAATAAATTCTAACATATCTAAATACTCAACGCAACATCGTCAAATGCGGTGAATTACTTTTCTAAACTAATCATCATTACAAACTGTCAATGAACCGGAAATACTGACATGTGTTTACAGTTCGCATGCGTATTTCCTCCTTTCACATTGAAAGATTCTCGAATATCTTTTATAACATCCGAGAGAATACGAAAGGATACTGTGGCGTGAAAATTCACTTTTTTAATTATTTGATCTCTGCATGTTTTTGAATTGATTGAAAAGTGCCTCGACATGTTTGTAATTTTTATATTTTGCTTTTATTACATCTCAGCATTTGATTTTTTCTCATTTTTCTACTTTCTTATAAAATTTTAATGTTCCTCCTCCTTATTTGGCAGTCGACGCGCGCAAGCGCAATATAAGTTGATGTTGCCATCTTGACGGAGAAAATTGAGGAAATCGACACTTTTTTGACAGCGCAGAAAATATTAAAAAACCTCACAGGTATATTTTTTCTTTAAATAGACATGAACAAAAAGGTTTATATTAACTTTTGTTATATTTTTTACTGAATGAAGTGATGGATTCTTAAAAATATAAGTAGGTTAAAATTTAACATCAAGCGGCTCGACCGTGTAAGAATATGACCCCGTGCAACAAAGTTGATTGCAGTACAACACATTCCCTGAAAATATGTTGTAATATTAATAAGCTGCTTTGATAATATTGGAAAATAGCATTAAGCAATATAATCTATATAAAAAGTTAATTTCGATTGTTAAAAATATGTATTAATTTATTTTCCCTGAAATTAATATGAAATTATTATAGGTGGATGTATTTGGAAATGTCATTGTCTAGCATGAATTGCAAATGGATGTCAAGGTGTCAACATAACTGGTAGAAAGTTTTGGGGGGAAAAGTGGAATAAATTACTTATTAATTAAAATTGTTAGAGACATGATAAGTAAATTTAATAATTATTGAAACTTTTTTTTAAAATTCTTTTTAATTAGTTGTTTTAAAATATATATTAATAACAGTGTACTTAAAAATGTTTTCACAATATAAAAAAAGTAAATTTATTCCTATAACTTTTGTTTATAGAAAATGCAGTTTTCTATACAATAACAATGCATTATTAAATTATCAGGTATACTACTTTCATTTAACTTAATTTTATATTAAAATGTTGTTTGTTTTTTTAATTAAAAAAAATATTGCAAAGCAACTAGGCCTATTGAGTTTTCACAATAACTGCACTACTCTTTTGCAGAGCAAATAAACGTTTAACAAAGTTTCTGTCAACAGATAATTAAACCGTAGTAATCATGAATGGATTAATTAATTAATACTGAAAAATCTAATTATCATTCCAGATGTAGAAAGTTATTCCAAAGAATTAAAGAATACAGTTTTAAAACTTTAAAATGCAGTCCAGACCAAGGATGAGGTATGGTTTTTTTTATTATAACTACCAGTACTCCCTAAAATGATCAATAGAATCTATCTGCTTTATTCTCCCTTTTATATCAGTATTTTCCTTTAAACCTACTACTCTTTCTCTCTTGTGTATCTGTGTATTCAATATACATGTATTACATATTATATACATACGACTGTTGTAATTTAGTAAGTAATGAATATGGTTTATCATAGTGACATGTATTATACAGTTACAACAACAAATATATAAAATGAATTTAAACATCTGGCCCATTGGTCTGATATGTCACTTTTAATATTTGAACTTTTAGTAAATATGATATTAGGCATTGTGTTCATTATATATGAATGAGTATTTACAATCTACTTTCTTTTTGATCTCTTAGGAGCCTTACATTTAGTCAGTGCATTAATAAATTGTTGTCCAAATCTAATCATTTAATGATTTATAAATTGTAAGATTATTTTTTTTTATTAATAATTTGCAAAAATATTTTTTATCCACATGCTTATATTTTTCATAAAACAATATTGAAATAGAAATTAAGACTGATGTTACGTGAAAATCCCTTTTTAAAGTGATTGTTTGATAAAAGAACATTATTATATTTTTTTGAGTTTAACAAACTTAAGATATGACAATATTTTGTTGTATAAAGAATACAGTTTTATCGCATGGATAAAGATTTATAAATAATAATAATTTTTTATACATGTACATTAACTACTTTGGGCCTGTAAAAATAAATGCATTCTTGGTATTGATTTTCATCGTATCCACATTAAGAGTTACACATGAGAGACCTGAGGTGCAGATACTTGACATAGGTCTACCTGGCTTTATTAGCTTCAATAAAGACATCTCTGATTTTGAGCCTTGAATTAAATATTGTGTTATAATGCATGCCACTCATACAGCTCTTAAAAAACCAAAACAATATTTTCAGAGTAAACACATGGTAAAAGAAATCATTGAATTCATTTCTGATTGTTATTTCCCTTGATTGATAGTGGAGACAGGGCCATGCCCCCTCTGTTGTTCCCGGGGACTAATCCCAGCCTCCCCTCCCACATACCAATACAAATGGCAGCAGCCCCGGCCCAAGGATACGCCTCATCGATCGTCTCAACTGGACCGTTTCCAACTCCAGTCATCCAGAACTCAGGATGCCGGGTCTCCATCCCCCAGAGTCTCACCAGTCAGCCAAGTCAGAATGTGTTCCCTCTCTCCCCCCACACGCTCGGGGGACAGGTTAACCAGACAGTGTTTCCAGCACCACTTGGAAGTCAGGCCTGTGGATCTAGTGGGGTTTACCCCACCTCTGTGGGGAGTCGGCTTACTCATGCCACAGTGTTCCCCACCCTGGGGAGTGGGGGAGGAATTCGCCAGCCTGTCCCCACTCACTACTACGCCCCAGGAAACAGCACTCCACACCTAACTGTTCCAATGAACCATAATCTACTTCACATGTCTGGTAAGAATATTCATAGGTTCAAGTCTGTGCATAGATGCACATTTAAAAGCATTGCTATAATCTGGTTTTCAGTCCCTCTAATATGAAATTTTAGAAATAAAGTTTTAATGAATGCTTGGAAAAGATTTCAAAATATTAAAAAATCTTTGAATTTATCTGTCAAAAATAAGAAAAATATTCATTTTAGTAAATCAAATTCTGATGTTCTGTTGAGATAGATAAAGAGACATTCCTTATTTCTTCAGGTGGAGGTATTCCTCAGAGCCCAGTTTTAGCCTACCCAGGTACCCCATTTGTCATCAGCGGAGGGCAGAGTCCGGGAATGCCTGGGACCTCCCATGCCTCTGGCCACATTCAGCTCCTTCCCCGGCCCCCCGGTACCCCCAGCCCTGCTACCCCTCACATGCTGAGCCCTGTTAGCCCCAGTATGCCTAAAGTTGTGGGACATATTCCCATCACCAACACTAGTCCAGGAAATCTTAATGGCAATAGTGGTAAGAATCTTATTATTTTCAGACAGAATAATCACCTGAAATAAAGCATCTAATGGACTTTTAGGAAAGCCACTCATGAGAGGGATAAAATGAATATATAATGTTAATTATAACGTACTATTTTCCCACTGAATCACAGTTCTTTGGAATAACTATTCAACCTTAGGTATGAAAATTACCTGGAATTCTTGGATTGCTATTTTATGTCTTGATAACGTACATGATCATTATTTTAATGCAGTATTATATACCAGTCATTTTAGATGCACAGTGAGTTATTGAAAAGTGCATCTAATGCAATCATCCCCCTATTTTCTAGTCAAGTAGATATTTATGAAGAAATATCTGTACAGGTACCAGTATATTATACCTTTATTTTAGGTGCTGTTAGTCCTTGTGGAAACTTTCCCATGTCTATGCCAGGGGGATTGATCCTATGTTCACCTATAGGAGCCAGTACCTTATCAATGAAAAGTACAGGCACACCAAACTCCTCCCAGAATTCAATGCAAACAGAACCTGAAGAGGTCAGAGGTCAGGAAGAGGAGAAGGCCCCTGACAACATGTCAATGAAGCCTGCTGAGGAGACAAAGACTGAAACAATTCCTGAAGATAAAACTTCAAGTCAGGATAATGTCAAAGGCTGTGAAGAGACAGAGAAGCAAGCTGAGAAAGAGAAAACAGTGCACTTCAGAAGAATGGGCATGGGAAGCTTTAATGAAGGTAAAGTAGTTATTAAAGTTTGCTTTGTGTGCCAATTGATTCCATTACTTTTGGGATAAACTTACTTTAGTGAGGGGGGTTGTTTCACCCATGTTTTTCAGAATCTTTACAGAAAAAATATCTAGAATTTAGAATGTAAAATTGCATACATGTAACAACACATAATTTACATTTTCCTAATATTTTAACAAAATGGTTTAATTAGTTTAAAAAAAAATAATACCAGATTTCCTTGTTGGAAATGAAATTATTTAATATAAGTTTCGTTTCTTTTTTGTTGATAAAAAAAAATTACTAAAATTTTCAAGCATTGGTTTATAGTTATGAAGATAAATAATAAACTAGAGCCGAGCTCGTTGCAAAGCAACGAGTAGGTCTTCCGTCGGAGCTGCGGACAGGGAGAAGTGACCTTGAGTCAAGGTCATGTCACGTTCTAATGTTAAAGCAATATTTTAAAGGCAGATATCATCTTATATGTTCTACTACTTAAAAAATGGATAGTAAAGTTATTGACCTTGACAAAATGACCTTGCGTCACACCATGACACATGGTGGTGATGTCAGAGCATATCCCATTTGTGTGCTACTGTGTATTGACAAATTCACACATGTTCTTTCAAACAATGCATCCAGCCAGAACATCTTATCCTAAATGACCTTGATTCAAGGTCATGACACACTCTACATGATTTAAGCTATACTCTTTTTTTCAATAGCCCTTGTCACAGCTAACATGTGTAAAACAGGTATGAGAGAGCTACCCTTTCTCTATCATAAGTTATGGTCAAATTATTATGTTATGTTTAAATGGAAAACGAATAAAACGTCAAGGTCAAAGTTCATTATAAACTAGTACATACAGTCATGTAATTTTTGTGTAATATGAAAGTCATATCTCTTCTCATTCAAAAGTTATAATCAAAGCTAAAATTTTGAAAAGTAAGCCAAGCCTCAAGGTCACGTCAAAAGTCAGTGTATTTAGTGTTGTCTCAGGTAATAAAAAGGGGTATATAAAAGCCCTTTTTCTCTTCGTTCAAAAGATATGACAGTTTTTCAAGTACATATGCATTATATGTACGTTGGGATTCAAGACGCGGAGACCTGTCCTTAATGAGAGCATATACACAACTGTATATAGTTATGAGGTACATGTAGGTGGTGTTGAAAAGGATTAAATTCGTCTGATTCCACCTTAATTTTTTTAAAATTCTAATCTTTGCGCTGCTAGCGATTTTTAGCTCACCTGAGCCGAAGGCTCAAGTGAGCTTTTCTGATCACATTTTGTCCGTCGTCCGTCCGTCCGTCTGTCTGTCCGTCTGTAAACTTTTCACATTTTCGACTTCTTCTCAAGAACCACTGAGCCAATTTTGACCAAACTTGGTACAAAGCATCCTTAGGGAAAGGGGAATTTAAATTATTAAAACATATCCCCTCGCAAGGGGAGATAATCAAAAAAAGACAAAAATAGGGTTGGGTCATTAAAAAATCTTCTCAAGAACCACTGGGCCAGAAAAGCTGAAACTTATGTGAAAGCATCCTAGGGTAGTGTAGATATTAAATTGTTCAAATCATGACCCCCGGGGGAAGGGCGGGGCCACAATGGGGAATCAAAGTTTTACATAGAAATACATGTATATGGGGAAAATCTTTGAAAATCTTCTTCTCAAGAACCACTGAGCCAGAAAAGCTGAAACTTATTGGAAAGCATCCTAGGGTAGTGTAGATATTAAATTGTTCAAATCATGACCCCCGGGGGAAGGGCGGGGCCACAATGGGGAATCAAAGTTTTACATAGAAATATTTAGGAAAAATCTTTGAAAATCTTCTTCTCAAGAACTACTGGGCCAGAAAAGCTGAAACTTATGTGAACGCATCCTGGGATAGTGTAGATTCTAAATTTTAAAAATCATGACCCCCGGGGGAAGGGCGGGGCTACAATGGGGAATCAAAGTTTTACATAGAAATATTTAGGAAAAATCTTTGAAAATCTTCTTCTCAAGAACTACTGGGCCAGAAAAGCTGAAACTTATTTGCACATGGAAGGATCCTGGGGTAGTTGATTTCAAAATGTCTTAATTGATTATGATCAGTGGGGTAGGGTGGGGATACATAGATAATTTATTACAAGGGGGAAATCTGGTAAAGAACAGAATGGTCAAAGCTTCTCAGGTGAGCGATGTGGCCCATGGGCCTCTTGTTATTGTTTAAACTGTCTTTTGGGCTGAAATATTGTTCATTTTCTGGGTATTCTGCGTATGCTCAAAGGCGGTCAGCACCACATGCATCTTACATGTATAAAATTAAATGTCCAGCCTTTCACTTTCACATAAATTTAGCTATATAACCAGGTAAGAGAGCTATTGTACCACCCATTAAAAGGTGAAGATATTAATTTTGCACAAAAAATATGCGCTGAGGCTATATATTTCAATATCGGTGTTTTTCAAGTGCAGCAATATAAAAATATTACTTACCGTGTGTCTCTAGCACATTCCTTCAATTTTACTACAGCAAAACATTCCTTACAAACTTTTTTTAATAGTCATTCTGAGCTGAATTTGAGATATCGAAAATATCAACTAATTATTCTTCCATTTTGGGTGGAAAAATAATTCGGCCCAACAAGCTTCTTGCAAATGTCAAGTACTTGGTTCTTGATAGAGATATCTGGAACATTTTGAAATCCATCTTTTGTGCAGTTGAGGTAAGAATTCTGAGAAATTATTCCAGAACCAAATGCAATTTTTTGTACGCAATTAATATATACTTTGAATATGGGTGGCACTGTAGCTCTCTGGTGATCCATCCCAATTTTTTTTTTCAACTAGCGAGCTACACATCTGCAGGTAGCGTTTCACCAAATATATTCTATAAAAATTATGATTTCATCTTGTTTGTAACTTGCTAGAAATATAGCGTAAAAATCCAGAAAGAAAATAATGAATATTAGAAATGATTTGGAAATTCTGAAAAGCTTGGGATGTATTATATAATTATTTCAAGAGCTCTTCCAAGTAAATTAAGCTGCATATTCTTACAATGATCATGTGCCTTTAAAATCATATCAACATGATATTCTTTTTATTTGACGAAATAAAAGAAATACATACATCTAAGCATATCATTCCGTACAAAACAATTGTAAATTATGTAAATTTCGATTTTTTAAAATGTCTCTCCCACTTACATTTTACTTCGTACATTTATCATGTTTTAAATATATTCGCTACATGTAATTTAAAGAACATCGCAAACTCTGAAACCGGTACACACAAATTAGATTAATTATAGCTTGATTTAGGCCCGTATACATGTACCAATCGCAATGACTTAAAAATGAAGATGGAAATCATCCATGCTATATGTATTATAAAAAAATTGCAGGCGTGAGAACCCCGACTTTTTAAATATCGAAACTGTAATAATTCACATCAAAAGGGAAGATTGATTGATTGATTGATATAATATTGTTTAAAGCCGAGTCGGCAATATCTCAGCCACACTTCGGCGGATAAGTTTATTTTTTTGACCGGTTTCTTGAAAGTTTTTGGTTTCTCTGGCGGCCCCAAATGAACCTACTCTTTTTCGAACTCCAGAGAAACGATCTTTTACGTGCCGAGGGGGTTGTTATCCCTGACACGGGGCACCATTTAATGTCCCCATCCGACGGACTTAAAATTTAAAAATATGTAAGCTGTTATAAATTTGTAAACTGTTAAAAATAAAATGATCTAAATATATCTCATAAAAGTGCTCTTATCATTTCTATATTTTATAGTAAAAATCAGTTTCATGTAAATATTCCAAAATTGCATGTACATTAATATTTGTAAAAAGTTAATGTATGGTTTTTGTATTACCAAAAAGTCTACTTCGGATGGGTGTAAAATCAGAACATTCTAATAAAATATGATTCACTGTTATCGGACAGTCACAGGATTTACATTCCGGCTGAGACCAAAAGGGAAGAATGTAATATTTATGTACGCGCAATTAAAATTTCTGTCAAATTCGCAGATCATTGTGAAAAATGTTAATGGGATAGCCCATCCTGTGTCACCTTTTCAGTGTGGTTGATGAACTCGCCCATACACTTTTTGTAATCTCACCTGAGCAGCGGAGAAGAGGGTGAAATCGTAGCATGCACTAGCCATTCGTCATATAGAATAGAATGCACATTTACAATGAATATATTTGTTTTCAACAAAACCTTCATGCATGTCTGTAGAAATATTTTACGATTCACGCAAAAAATATTTTCTTTGATTTTCAACAGTAATTAAATAAATGTTGCAGAGGAAACATGATACCGTGTAAAATTTCTATAATACCAAAGCTATAATTAAGTGGTCTAGTATACAAAATAAAAACTGCCGTGCTATTTTCTTCAGCTAGGTTGTCCTTTGATCGAAGAAATGGTTGTATACATGTAAATTTTGTATGTAAAATGTGTGCAGCTTAAGACTGAGTTATTTAATGCTATTTAATGTTTTTCTATTGACTAACAATTTTGTTTGTTTCAACATTAAACGGAGATCAGTCAAAAATTACATGCGCAAATGGTTTACACACAACACAGACAGTCACTGTATATCGAACTCCCTGAACGTATATACGGGTCAATGCGCGATCGATGAATGGGTTACATAACTGTAAACAGTACACAGAGCAGCCAAGGTCCGAGAAGAATTTACGATGGATGTATTAAAAGACAGTGAATTATTCTAAGCTTGAAAGCTCTATTAAAATATTAATAGCATGCTATACATTGAATAATAAACATGATAAACGAAGGAAATTAAATATGATTTTTTTCCCTTACTCCCGTCTTTTAAAAAAATAAATAAAAGGAGAAAGTTGTCTCTGGAAATTCTGCGAGGCATTAATCCACCTCGAGAATGCGTTCAGAACCTTATTTCAACAAAGTTTAACATTCAATTTAGTTATGTATATTGTTTCTATCCAGTTATTTCAGTTAGACATGTTACACGCATAAAGAATTCTTCTACACTTGCCGAACAAAATCACTTACCTGTACATGGACTATAAAGTTTTCTGCTCATTTAATAACACATGGCCCGAACCAAAAAACGTTTTCATGAGTTCAATAAGATGTTAAAGAACCCATTTCAAATCGATAACCATATTGAAATATTTACCGTTTTTGAGTTATAAAGTAAAATAAAGTAAAAACTTTCAACTGCCCTTGACCCCTAATTTGAGGGGCCAGCCCCTTTTTATTGATGTCAAATGATAGATCTTTAAATTATGCACATTTTTTGTTCAACATGTCTTAACAAAATATTTTTAGTTTAAAAGATACACAAGGAAATATATGTAAAATTTTGCGCTTTTAGGCACTCTCATTTTTGACCCCTATCTAGCACCGTTTTAAGCGCAGAAATCGAAAAATGAAAATCGATGTGCACAACTTCAATCCTTTTATTATCTAAAATCAGTAGAATTTCTGCTCCAGCGTTAGCCGTCTCTGAGCCTTTGTCTGGAAACGAAAGCCTATAAATTTTCGTTTAAAGGGAAATAACTCAAAACCGGAAGTGACGTTTTGAAATTGTAGTCAACATTCTGATAGAGTTTATTAACGTCTATAACCTCTGAAAATTTGAGCGAAATCCGTTGAGAAATGAGTGAGATATGAGGCCTCAAAGTTGCGGTCTAGGAAGCAGAAGAAAAAAAAGAATAAGAATCTTGACCAACAGAATCAGTAGAAGGTCTTCCGTTGGAAACGGAAGACCTTAAAAAGATGTAAATACATAGATGAAATTAAACTTTTTTTAAATTTCTGACACATTTTGGTCCACTGAATGTTTATTTTTTTCGTCCTAATTGAAGATGGGGTTCCAGTAGAGTATGATGATTCAGACTTTGTTTGGGAGGAATATTTAGAAGAAACAGGTTCAATAGCTGTTCCTAATGAAGCCTTCAAACATGTGAGTTTTAGTTTCAGTAAAGGTCAGATAATTTAATTCAGAATCCCTTTTCATTAAAATGAAATTATTTAGCCCCAAAATCTACTTTCATGGACAAAATAGCCAATGGATTTTCTGATGATGAACTTTTTACCATGCTTTGTAATCCTTTAGGTTGAGTACAGCTTAGAGAGTGGCTTTGTGAAGGGCATGAAACTAGAGGTGCCAAATAAATGATATATACTCATCTTCAAGGTTGTCTCTTTTTCCATGGATGCCATTTGTGAAATATGAAAGCTTATATTATTAATAGAATGGTAACATTGGGACGTACTGGGTGACCTCTGTGATCATGACCTGTGGCCCCCTGCTGAGGTTACGGTTCGATGGCTACGAGGAGGATTCCTCCGCTGACTTTTGGTGTGACTTGATATCCTCAGAAATTCACCCAATCGGATGGTGTGCTCAAAACAACCAAGTACTGCAGCCCCCAGAAGGTAAGCTGGAGATATATACAGAGAAATATTAAATATGTAGTGGGTACATTGTAGAGTGCATTGATTGCCTAAAACAATCAAATGATAAATTTCCATTTTAAAAACCCTTCATGTAAGTCATTTAATTGTAGCTATTAAGGATAAGTTTGATGATTGGAGGGAATTCTTGGTGAAGTCATTGACAGGGGCCAGAACTGCACCCTCATTTCTACTGGATAAGGTAGGGAAAATAATTACAAGTTAACTATTTAATACAAGTACTTTTTACAGCTATTAAAGTCATTGACTTAATATACAGTGAGAATTTAAAAACAATTATACAGGTAATTGTCACATTTTGGAAAGATTTTGTCTTAACTTCTACTAGCATTTTGATTTTTTTTCTGACATTTCTTGCCTAAATGAAATTGAGTGATGTTCCCTTTATATGAAGTACACATTTACCTGTTCTGTTTCAATACCAATGTTAAAATTTGTCAAGAACACCAGTAAAGCCAGCATTCATGACATTGTCAGACCTTATTATAGTCCACAGGTACAACCCCAGTAGACCAGCTGAAGCGAGGCATGAGGCTAGAGCTTCAGCATGCAATCAACCCCACAGATATATGGCTGGTGAAAATAATAGAGAATGTAGGAGGGCGGCTATACCTGAGACTGGAGGGGGCTGAACCTGGCTCTAATGATTTCTGGCTCTTCTACCTGAACCACCGGCTACATCCGATTGGCTGGGCAAAGACTAACGGCTACAAGTACAGCCCCCCACAAGGTAATGTCCCATTTTATCAGAGCACATGAGGAGAATATCAATATGAATTTATTCTGTTGCAATTAGCAATTTAAACCTTGCTCATGGAAGGAAGAAACTATTTTGATCATATTTCATCGCTGGATAAAACTTAAAAGGAATTTGAATGATGTCTTTATTATTGTAGAATTAATTATGCAATTTCAAGAGGCAGTAGACTGGATGAGTGTTTTGGAGAATGCTCTGAAAGAATCTGAGAAAATGATGCTGCCATTAGCTATATTTAAGGTAAGGTGAAGCATTCTCTTAACTGGTTTCCTGTTTTCACATGACCAGACAAAGAATAAAAGAAAGAGCATCAAAATCACATTCATAGAATTCAATATACATATCTCAAAGGTATAAAAAAAAATTATTGAATTACAGTTAAAATACTTTTGTTATTTTGCTATGTGGAAATTTACCCCAGCATACTTAAAGTTTGTGTGAGGCTTGGCAATATAAGAAATCTGCATAGTTTTGTACTTACAGATTAAACAGAAACTGTGATTCTGCAAAACTAAGACCCTTTAGAAAAACTTAAAGAATCTAATCTGTTTTCTTAATCAGTTGAATGTTCTGTTACAGGACCAGGAGGATATACTTCCTCACCGGTTTAAGAGAGGCTGGAAACTAGAGGCCCTGAATCCTCTGTCAACCAATCAGATCTGTCCAGCCACTGTGATCAAGGTGTTAGACTCACGCTACTTTGTAGTAGAAATTGACAGTCTGAGGGAAGACTCATATCCAATCAGATTCTCCTGTCACTCAAGGTCAAGGTTCATCTTTCCATGTGGGTGGTGCCAAAAACATGATGTCAGCATTACACCTCCAAAAGGTAAATACTGATCGAGTCACATATCTTAAATTTATTCTTTCTGGGTGATAAATAATTTGATGATAATTAAAGGTACTGTATACAGGGTTATTTTTGCCCCATGTTATTTTCGCTTTTTCACACTTGCTAACAATTTTGCCCAGTTTTAAATTCGGCCAGTCACATTTCTGGTGAAGAATTTATACTGTGTTCTTTGAATTCGCATTTGCCAAATCATGACAAGGGCGAAAATAAAATGGGGGCAATCATGACAAGGGCGAAAATAAAATGGGGGCAAAAATGTCCCTGTATACAGTAATGGTTCAGTTAATGATTTTGTTGTCAAACTTTATTGTGATGAGAGAATCTAAACTGAGAATCAGTCAAGACTATGTAAATAAGTAGCTATATTCTTTTGATTAAAATCAGGCTGGAACACAAAAGAATTTTCCTGGCAAGAGTACTTGAGTTTCTGCAATGCAGAACCAGCTCCAGAATTTGTCTTGGTAAGATTTAGCAACATTTTGAGGAAGAATTTTATTCTTTGTTCATTGTCAATGTACATATTTATGTACCGGTATATGCATAAATTGTATTTTCATATTTATACCGATAGACATGTATTAAAAATTTTGTTAATACCCTTTCTTTTATTTGGTTTGAATTTTAAAAAAAAATGTATTGATGAATTTCAATATTTTAAAGCCTCAAGATAAAAACCTTTTTGAGAAAGGAATGAAGCTTGAAGCAGTCAATCCTGAAAATCCTAATCAGATCTGTGCTGCCACGGTGACAAAGGTCGTGACCCCTCTAGTCTGGATTCACCTTGACAACCACAGGAAGTCAGTAGAGAGCCATATTGAACACATGTTTTCACATAACTTGTTTCCTGTGGGATGGTGTGCCAGTAATGGCTACCCAGTACAGCCCCCAAGGAAATTAAGTAAGGCTGGAAGACCACCCAGTACAGTGGCTGAGAAGTAAGTCAATGAATTTATAAATGCATATATAAAATTATATTTGTGCTACAACTATGTATTGATTGCTTTTAACTACCAGTTATGTGGATTTTGTACCAAAGCTTGAAAAGAAGTATTTAGTATATAATATTTGTTCTACTATTTTGAGGGTAATATTGCTATTGCAAGCAAATAATGTCGGTTTTGACATGTTCTTTAGGAAGCCAGTCAGTTTGACAGATGAGGCTTATTCACAGATGCAGCAAAATGAAGGTTTGCATCAAAACTTTTATTTTGAAGAATAATCCTATCTCTGAGAACTTTCTATTTTATTTTCATCTTCATTGTCATACTTGAAAAACAAATTTCTAGAGCATTATTTCTAGGTTTGTCTCTTATCTTTTCAGAAAATTCCTGGTGTCCAAAGATTTACTACAACCATAAGTGTTTCTCTGGCCCCTACCTCAGCAAGGGGAGAATAGCCTCCCTCCCTAAGTGTGTGGGGCCGGGACCTGTAGGTCTAGTCATGAAGGAGGTCCTATCCAATCTCATCAATGTGGCATACAAGTCCTTCAGGGTACTAAAAGAGCTACAGGTTGAAGGGAAATCCAACCCAAGAATGCAGCAACAGACAATTAAAGCCAAGTAAGTTCTTTGTTTTTATTTTGTTTTTATTTTTGTTGTTTGTTCTTTCTACCAAAATGTATTATATGGGATTCTCTTGTAAGATAAAAAATCTCCTGCTTTGCCTGCAGATACAAGGGGAAAAGTTACCGAGCTGCAGTGGAGATTTGTCGTGACGTAAATGAGTTGGATGACTTTTGTCGTCACATCTGTAAGAAGCTGGAGTGCTGTCCCAATCTCATAAGTCCCCGTCATCATGACGAAAAATGTCCCGAAAACTGTGATCAACTCAACAAGACAAAGTATAGTAAGTAAAATACAAAATATACCATTATTGAGATAATTGCAGTGTTCATATTCCAAATATGTATGTTGCAAGACAGTCTTAAAAAGAAATCTTTATATATTTTTTTTTTCAAGTCATCTCTGAATGACTTTGAAAAATGCACAAAAAATATCATATCTTAATTTGTTTCATTTGAATTACAATCAAGTCCATGTATTGGATTGAAAAATCACTTAATATGAATGCCATTATTAAATTAACACCATTCTTGTTTCAGCTCAATATTTTGGAAAGAAAATTCCTGGAAAAGTGGGTCGTCCCCCTGGTGGTCACAGTAACTTAGAAAACGGTCCAAAGAAACCTGGGAAGCGTGGCCGCAAGAGGAAAAAGCTGAACATTCTAGACGAGCGTGGGGATAACATTGAACGGGAGGAGAACAGTGAGGAGGACAGGGAGAGTGTGATAAGTGACACACAGACAGTGGCAAGTAACGACTCTAATGACAATGACAGTAAAAAATTCAAACGGAAGTACACCCACCACATTCCTCCTCCCTCAGACATCAAAACTCGGGGGGCAAAGCTTCCTAAGTACAGCTTTGAGAGGAAGACCCACAAGAAGATTCTGATTCCGTCCTCTATGATGTCAGAGGGTTCCAGCAGATTAGCTGCCAAACACCACAGTGCTGTCACACATGTGAGTTGTTTTCAAAGATTTTCATAACTGTTACCATTTTAGTTTGCATATAAATCACTATATATTTTTCTGATGTGTTCTCCAGACTCATTACATTGTGTATGTACAACAAAAAATTACAGGTGTAAGATACAAAGGTTACATTCTTTTGAGATCATAGAGATCTTTCTTATAGACAGAAATCTGCTCCAAAAAATGTTTTTTTATGCTAAAAATAGCTTTTTTGAACTTTGTTGCGGCCTTGCACAGAGTGTTTCACAAACACATCTTGTTTTACTCTCATATAATTTCTGATATAGAAACCTGTTCACACTACTTCTCCTGAGAAGAAGACGATACCAGACAGACTACACTTGACCACTAACCCTCTCAAGTGGTCAGTGAACGAGGTGGTCAAATTTCTGAAGACCACAGACTGTGCCAACCTTGCCAGGATTTGTAAAGAACAGGTAAAACATGTGCATAGTGAAATTATCTATGAAATTTCAACCTCTGTAATTTCCATTGTCATTTAGATAGGGCTTATTTACATGTATGTACAAATGAATACATTACACATTTGAAATACATGCCTTACTAGATATTGACACCTCCAAATTTTAAATTGATTTTTTTCTTGGAGAGGATAGTTGTCTTTAAAATAAAATTGATGTAATAATTAGAGGAAGATTAAGTATAATTTGATGGACAATTCTTTACTGATTTGTAGGACATAGATGGGCAGGCATTGTTGTTACTGACCCTACCAGCAGTCCAGGAGTACATGGACCTGAAGCTAGGACCGGCCGTCAAGTTCTGTCACCAGATAGAGAGAGTCAAACTGGCCTTCTTCACTCAGTATGCCAAATAATCACTTCTCAAAATGTGCTAAAACATCTGATATATACTCATCTTCAAGGTTGTCTCTTTTTCCATGGATGCCATTAGTGAAATATGAAAGCTTATATTATTAATAGAATGGTTTTTAGAGGATATATACAAATGTTTGTATTCATCATACATGTATGTAGCTTTTGGATCAGTTCTTAAAATTGATCCTACAACTGACAGCATGCATACATGTAAATAAGTATTTTGTAGCCTAAATACAAACTTGTATAATGATTTTCTTGTTGTGTATTTGTGGGCAAGATTTACTTTTAAATCTGTACATTGTGAAATCCATTTTCAAAAAATATAAACAATTTAAGTTTTCTATTCGATGTTACACTCAATAATTTTAGCTGTTATCATTGTACTTCTGAAACCAAACTTTTTGTACAAAAAATTGTTAATGCATACTTTTAGCTGTATAGCATTCCAAATTTCATATATAACTTGACCAGAAAAAAAGATAATGAACTTAGTAATGAAAATAACGTATACACATATGATTTCATTGGTACAGAAAAGTTTAAACATTCATGTGAGTCTCTTCTTCTTCTTTGTGATGTTATTACCCATAGAATGGCAGCATTGTTGCAAATGTCGAGAAATATTTTAATACGTTAATTCTAATAAGTTCATTTACATCAACCTGACAGTATGCATTTTGAAAGATGTCTACAAAATTGCAAATTGATGCATCCATTGAATAGCAGTTCTCTGTTTTTGAAACAGGCAGTTGGATTCACAATTTAGGTGTGTGTTATATAGGTAGAATGAATATAGACTTAGTTAACATGTTACAACATGATAGGAATTGGAAAATTCCTTCTATTTTAATAAGGTGCTATAAAAGCAGTGCATTATTTTTAGTGTTCATTATTCAGTTGTAAATACATTGTATACTGTTGAGTTTTAGTGACTTTGTGATCTTTGTTATTCATTACATTTAAGTTTTTCATCTTAAAACATGATTTCTTAAGACGTCTTGTTCCAGTTGTTAATTTTTGTTTGCAATCATGTTTAGGATTTTTGTCCTTTTAAGGAATAAATACATAATATCATGTTTTCTGATTTGAAGTTGTTTTATTGATACAGTGCATCATATCTAGGGTATACGTGATTAGTGGAGTATGCATACCAACTATGAATTCTCTACCTATCATGGTTCAAAAGTTATGTCAAAGGTACAAAAAGCTATTTTTAGCATATAGGCCACAGTCAAGTCACAAGGCCATTGATCTTGGTGTCATTTGAAAGAGCCCATTTAGTGGAGTAAGCATACTCAACATGAACTCTCTACCTCTCATGTTTCAAAAGTTATGGTGAAGGTTCAAACATCTATTTTTAGCATATAGACCAGAGTCAAGGTCACAAGATCTTTGACCTTGATGTTTCAAAGAACTTAATTAGTGAAGTATGTATACCAAATAATAAGTCTTTATCTTTCATGGTTCAAAAGTTATGGCGAAGGTTTAAGTTTGCTAACAAAAAAGGTATTTTTAGCATAAAGGTCACAGTCAAGGTCACTGGCCTTGGTGTAATTTGAAATAGCTTAATAATTGGAGTATGCATACCAAATATGAAGTCTCTATCTTTCATGGCTCAAAAATTATTGCGAAGGTTAAAGTTTGCAGAAAACAGACAGACAGGACAAATACAATATACGTCCTGGATCTATAGATCTGGGAGCATGAAAATTCAAATAAATATTGCAATTAGTCTACTTTCTTTAAACAATAATTATTTGGATTTTAGGATGAAATATATAAATATTTATTATATTATACTGAATGTTTTATACAAATACATATAACGGTGAACCGTACGCGCATAAATTCTACACAGTCGCTATTTTTTTTAATATCACCCGTCGTCAAGCACTGTTGACTGTTGCTATGGTGGAGGGCTTGGCTTCATTATTCAGCGGGTCATAGTGTTTTTTAACAAATGTTTCTCAACCTATCAGATTCACCTAATTTACATGAAAGTAAAATACATGGAGATAACGAACAGTATTCAAGCTCAAAAGTCCATTAAACAAATAAAATAGGAGCAGAGCAAACATGGTTTCACACTAGACAACTTGTCCACGATTTTACCGGACAACCCTCGTATGGGCCTCCAAAACATCAGAGTGGGATTGGGTGCCATGGAGGAGTGTGTATCCCCTGCCGACCATTCACACCCACCGTGTGCTTATTGTCACGATCGGGAAATAACGAAAAATTCTGTCGTCAATTCAGTGTATAAATGATGGACTAACGTCAGTCAGCATTTGACTCAATGATAAATAGTATCAGCTGACAAGGTCAGTATATCGGCCATAGAACTTACGAATTTATTCCGTATTAGAAATTGTACATATGTGCATGATTGTGTAGAGTATGCTCTTTCGTATCGAGTAAAATGAGACATATAAACTCGTATGCAGGTGATGAGGGTATATTGCTGCATAGGTAAGAACGATAGAAAAGTTCAACTCATCACGTTTATCATAGAACTTGGTTGTTAGATAACCATAAAAGTCTTTTTCAGGTAAAATATCCAAATATGAAACAAATGTGTCAAACTCTGTGGTATCGTTTATCTCAAGCTCAGCGGAATGTATATCGTTTCGACATAGGATTTGTAATAACCATTGTTAATTGACAATACGTCGTCGATATATCTATTATAAATGTCGAGTTAAAGACCACTGGCACAGCAAGTATTTCTTGCTTCAAACAAATTCAAAAAAAGCTCTGCTAATAACGGGCACAATTGGTACCAATGGGAATTCCAATAGATTGTTGAAAAAGCTGGTCTTCAAAAACCACATAGACATTGTTAATCAGAAACTCAAGCATCTTTTATGTCAACTTCAGAGTTTTAGACAAAATAATTTTGCAAATGGCCAATGACAAGGTAAGTAAATATTCGAGTTCCATTTTTATTGAAAAAACAGCCGTCGATGATATCGAAAAGTCTGGACTTAATTTATTTTGAGGAGTGGTTGTGTTAAAAGTTGAAAAGTCGTATGTTTTTAAGGTGTTGATTTTGAAAAAAAATATGATTTAAAAATTTTTCCAAAAGTTCCATTGAATTTTTAAGTACCCACATCTGATTTACATAACTTTTCGAATTTCTGTAGCACAGTACTTTTGAACTTTCTCCTTCACTACTGTTAATATCTAAGTGAGATGTAAAGAAAGAAGCTTGTTTAAACATTTACTAGCACCCACTATGTATCTTTGTAAGGATTTTTATGAAGTTTCGGAACACAGCATTGATATGGTAATTCGAATTCATTTTGGTTATTTGAGAAATTGAAAAATACTGTATTCAAAACTGACATATGATTTTGAAGAATTTCTTCCTTAGAAAGGGAACTATGAGTATAAGTTGGATAACCACTTGTAGAATTAAGGTTTCGTCAAAGGTCAACATGTCCAACAATTTATTTTTACAATAGCCCCAAAACTATGTGAGGTATAAAGTTAAAACTTTTACAGTTTATAAATTTTTCATTGATTAACAGATAGAAAGTATCACTTGATAAAACAATACTTTGAAAACATATCAATTGAGAAAAATTCTTCTTAAAAATGCAGATATTTTCAAAAAATACACCTAATTAATTCAGCACTCTTAGTGAAAACCATTTTTGCAGAAACAAAATATTTTTATCAATGAAGGGCAAGTTGGACTTGGATAGCCTCTGGAAAGTTGTTTTCCCTGTTTATTTTGTCCAAATGTTAAGGGGACGACCATTTGATTCTGAGGGGGGGGGGGCTGGCAGATTTTGGAAATAAATAATCTGTCCCTGAAAATGTTGAAAATAAATAATCTGTCCTCCTCTGCAAAGAAAATAAATAATTTGACCTTGACTTATGATATTTAAATATTGTGAAAACACCTTTTTATTTTCGTGTAATTTAACCTCAGAATCTTCAATTCAGTTTTTTTTTTGGCTCGCTTCGCTCGCCATTTTAGAACCAAATATTTATAATCAGATTACCAGACTGGATACTTGTAGTCAGTTGATCAACATGACAATGTGCACTTAGTAGATGTGATGAATCACTTTAAAGCTATATATGCCGTATTAGTGTTTTATTTTAAAAGTAATAAATATATGTGGTGTCTCATCAAGTTATATAAGTTATATACTTTCTGCAAATGAGACAATTCCACTCCATCACTTTTAAAAGTTATGAAATATTATTTGGTAAAAATTATTTTCTCTCCGTGTCGGATAAAAAACCGCCTCTTATTGAAATATTCACGATCACGTTGTCTCGCATGTTTACAGCAAACAATGGTCCAATCTCGTGAATGAACCTAAAAGCATGATGGTCTACTACGTTTTTACTACAAACACGTGAGTTAGGGATTGTCAATATTGAGAGCACCTAAGAGTTCAATTGTCTTTTCAATGGACATTTTCGGTTGGGTGAACTTCTACAGCTATGGATAAAGAAGTGTGGAAACCATGTTGTGCCAAAATGAAATAACCAATACAAACAAATGATATAATTTGATCAATCAAAATGGTTATTAGATACATTCGATTCTGCATTTCTTAATGGTTCAAAACAACAAAAAGTATTCCACAGAATTTAAATCTGCACAATATACCGAATGCCAAAACCAGAATACTACTAAATAATATAATTATATTCTTTACATATGAACCACAGTATTTCTGACCCCTTGAAAATGATATAAAAAATCTTGCAAGTAGGTTATCAGCATTGGCTCGAGCTAATTCGAAAGTGAAATTTGGAGTTTGGCAGTAAATTGTAGCGAATGAATAAAATTTAGTACTGATAGATATTGGAACCTATTTTACTTGTCAGATTTCTTCGAGCTAGTTGATTTTTATTCTAACTGTTCTATCCCCCCACCCACTTAAAAAAACGATGCTACCTACCTGAATTAATTTTCTTAATGGTTGTGACCTCAAACTGGAATAGTTTTTAGAGACCTGGAATTCCTTGACCAATTTTATTTTATTAGCCCAACTATATTTCTAAGAAGGCAAGACGTATGGTAAGTAAGTTTCATCTACATATGTTATGTAGCTCATATTAAAAAACTAAAAGGGATTATTGACGATATCCCATTCAGGGTGTAAACATAGTAGTTTAAATTACTTTCCATACATTGTACTTGACATAAAATATATTTTGCGCATAATGCGCTCCATTGAAGATCCGTAAATGTTCACCCAACCGAAAATGTCCACTAGCAGTACAGCACGGGGAAACTCTAAACAAACGGACCTGTACAATGGAGTGGGGAAAACTTTAATTTTCATCATTGTTAATCATTTGTATGCAAATATGAGCATGGGATTAGTTGATAATAATGTACATAATGCATCAAGTCTTTCTGAGAGCGATTTAAAAAACTAGCCTTTTTGAAAAACACATGTAGTATTTTATGTAGTAACCCATAAATGCAACTCATTGAGCTGATTGGTCTATTTGTGTCCCTCACTGAACAGACGTCACAAAAAATATTTTCCTCGACCTGATGATTTTCGCGATGCTTTTCCCGCGCACATGCGCAGATCCAGGATAAACGTCAGTCCTTTATAAATATGCATGAGAATATCGTGTTCTTTTCCTGATCAGTACTTTGTTAATACCGAATAAAATTTCGTCGAATTAGCAAGAATGCTTCATTTTTGGTAGCTTATCATACTCCAGAAATTTTTGTTCGGTTTCAGCTGTGCAAAAGTTCTATTTAACACGGCATACATATCTTTAAATACAAGCCAATTCTTAAACTCCACAAAAGATAAATTTTCTTGTCAAAGAATTATACTTCCCGATAAATTAATACAAAGTATACAGTGGCGGATTTAAGGAAGGCATACATGTGTATGACCCCTCCCCTAAAATTTCAAAGTATGATATGAATTATATTAATATTGCCATACTCTAGTACAATACCAATATTTTTGTGCCTAGTTTTACTCTTAAAATACACATGAAAAACCCAAGAGCTTCAGGGGGCTTCGCCCCCTGGGCCCCCTTCATTCAAAGTATGATATCACTAGTAT